AATCTTTGGCAATGTGCTCACTTTTAATTAATATTACAATTTCGAATAGAAAGACTCGTGCACCACCATTCCCGGCTGAATGTCACTCAAAGTTTGGCAACCGGTCAGCGACATAGTAATTTCCAAATCTTTTCGCAGTACACTCAGTAACTGCTCGACGCCACTTTGTCCATTATAGGCCAGACCATAGACAGCCGGACGCCCTATGAAAACGGTCTTGGCACCCAACGCCAATGCCTTGAAGATATCATTTCCCTGCATAATGCCGCCATCTAACATTACAACCAGATCGTTGCCCACAGCTTTCGCCACCTCGGGCAATGCTTCTATTGAAGCTGGGACGGTGTCGATTTGCCTGGCGCCATGATTGGAGACAATTACGCCGGCGCATCCGAATTCCCGGGCTAAGACGGCATCCTCGGCGGTCAACACGCCCTTTGCAATGATGGGCAGCTTTGTCAGCTGCTTAAGCCAAGCAATGTCCTTCCAGGTAATACTGGCATCAAATTGGCTGGCCACATACTCGTTTATGCCAGATCCACCCATGGTTATTACACCATTCGCCAAATCTCCTTGGAAGTTCGCCAGTTTTAAGTGCGACGGCAAACTGAACTTGTTGCGGACATCGCTGCGCCGGTGGCCAAAGATTGGCGCATCAACAGTTAGAACAAGTGCCTTGAAATTTGCCTTTTCAGCCCGGCGCACCAATTTCTCAGTAAGTGATCTGCAAATAATATGATTTATTAAATTTTGAATGGCGCAATTAATCGATAATCTTTGTCATTGCCCTCTGCTATCGATTACCATCGATCCCAAAGTTCAGTTATTTGAATTTTTAAACGACCTACCGATCTTTGTAGATATATAGCTGGAACCATTTGCAAGTATCAGGCGCTCCTGCCGATAAATCCTCCAACGATGTGGTGGAAAGTGTGCTCAGTATAAATATAGAACCAGCTTTGCCAGCGGCGCGTGCATTACCAATTTCCCCATCGGGATGCGCCATCTTCTGCATAGCTGTTGGAGCAATGCCCACCGGCCACTTAAGCTG